AAAAAAAACTTTTGGATTTTTTTTTATTATCTTGGAAATTTTGAACTTTTTTCAAAGCAATCGCACTGCTTTAGCTGCATAGAGTCAAACTATCGAAGCGCGTAAGCGCCGCGTCGCCATCTTACGGATAAACGATGTTACGAAACCCATAGAAATGTAAACAAAATGGATACACATTATTAAAATCTCTGTAAATATGTGATAATTTGATGTGCATATGTCCATTAAACAATTTTGACCACCAAATGGCATTTTGTCAACTTATTTTCATTGAGAGTCCATAACCGCTGGACCTGCCTTCCCAAATCAGTTCTTCATCTTGTCAATACAAGTAAAATGTTTTTTGAATTATTAAAATCGGACGCTCCATTCTCTTAAAAACTGTGTTACCGTTTTTGGCACTTTTTTCCCCGTATCTTCGTAACGGCTAGACCTGCCTCTGCCGAAAACTAATCAGCACGTCTCCTTATCAATACGAATCGAATACTTTTTGAATTATTGAAATCGGTTCATCCCTGTTCCCGAAATCGTCGATGAAAAATTGTATCCACACACACACACACTCGCACACCCACACACATACATACATCCATTTTTCTCAAGGTATGCCAAAGTGTTCAGAAACCTTTGAAACGTAAAGATATATAAAAAAAATTATTTTCGATTTTTCTGCGATTACTATAACTTACTCTACGGAAAGTTAATTATACGAAACTAGTTCAATCATTGATGTAAGGATCCTTTAATTTTAATTTTGATTTATTTATAGACAAATAATAATAATAATAATAAAGATTAGTCTGACCGAAGGCAAGTCCATGGTATGAGGGCACCACAAAATCAATGATTTAAAATAATGTATCAAGGAACCTGAGGAAATTATCAAGAAATAAAAAATTATGCCAAAATTCCCGGAAAACTCTATATTAAAATTTCTTTCTCCTTCAGACTTATAATATGTCTGACATGACCCATGTAGAACTTCTCAGCGTCAGACACATACGACTGACATGACAATTAACATGTTAATAATCACATATTTATAGTTAATTTGAACATACTTAGTGTTATTACTCCAAATATAACAGCAAGAAGTAACTTTTGAAATGGTCTATTCCTAAAATTGGTCTATTATCAAAATGGATATGAATTTGTAAATCCCTAGCTCGAACAAATGACAAACATGGCTGACTAGCCAGGAGTTAGCAATCGATTAAGTCTCCCACAAGGCAAACACACCTACAGGGTGTATTATTACATCGAGCGAGGGTTTCCATCCCTCTGTCTTTTTTTACTAGAGAGTGGTGAAAGAATACCTTCAAGTTCGATGACTAATCATAGGTTACGTGTACGCGTTACCCCCGATTAAGAATGCATTTGAGCAGGGCTTCTTAACCTTATTCAGGATTTGAACTTTACTCGAAGAGGAAACTGAGAATAAAAAAAAATACAAAACCAATGAAAAGTATACAAGTCCTATTGGTATGAGTAAATGATCCATATTTTTAGGTTCTTGTATTTATAATCTTGAAGCATATGTCCACACAGTTTAGTAATAATCAGTCTATTATCAATGCATTTTTTTAATGACGTTGAATTGCCTCAAACATGCTTATTTCTTGAAATTTCACATTTTTTACTAATTCAAAATATCAGGTTTCAAAATCATATGAGAAGTCAATAGACTCAATACTCATTAAATTTTGTTCTATTGTCTGGCACATTTGAATACGTAATTGTTATAAAAATGCATTCTGGACAGACATCACGTAACACAATATAACATTATAAATCATATGATGTACAATTATGATATAACTGGCATATTATAGGATATGGTTAGGAAAACATGCCACAAACCAGGGATTTATATATTTCTTTTAATTTCAAGTCACATATGCAATTGTACAAGTTCTTTACGAGGCAAATTGTACAATATATATGTATAGTGATGTTCCGACTTGAAAATATATGGCAAATTATATTTAAAATCTTTACTTTGTAGAGTATCGACTAGTTTCTTTGTCTTAGCTTCAATTTTTCCAAATATAGGCTTGATTCGAGTTGATTCGAATCATGCGAGTAAATCGAATGAATCGATTCAATTCGAATCATGCGAACAATTCGAATGGGTCGATTCATTTCGAATCATGCGAGTAACTCGAATGGGTCGATTCATTTCGAATCATGCGAGTAACTCGAATGAGTCGATTCAATTGATGCGAGTGACTCGAATGAGTCAGTTCAATTCGAATCATGCTAGTAAATCGAATGAGTCGATTCAATTCGAATCACGCGAGTAAATCGAATGAGTCGATTCAATTCGAATCACGCGAGTAACTCGAATGAGTCGATTCAATTCGAATCATGCGAGTTACTCGAATGAGTCGATTCAATTCGAATCATGCGAGTAACTCGAATAAGTCGATTCAATTCGAATCATGCGAGTAACTCGAATGAGTCGATTCAATTCGAATCATGCGAGTAACTCGAATGAGTCGATTCAATTCGAATCATGCGAGTAACTCGAATGATTAGATTGAATTTGGGTGGCTTGCATAATTTAATTCATTTTTTATATTCAAATTTATTAAAATTAATTATTTTTATGTTTAATAAAATGTATGTTCATACATATAGTATCAGAGTAAATATTTCTCGGCTTGATACAAGTTGATTTGAATCAAGTAAATCGTGATTCTAGTCAATTTCTTAAGGGCTTGATTTAAATGATTCGGATCGAGTTGTCATATTACTATACGAACATATTTACATTATGTTCATTATTCATGATCCAATTTTCTATTTAGTTTTCTAAATTTTGGGAGATGTATTTTTGTATGTATGTTTTTGTAAAATATTTTATTAAGGATAGAAAAAGTAGCCACACATGAAGTAACTGCATGAAAATTTTTTATACAAAATTCATAAAAAAAATTTAAACCCCAAAAAATTAACTTAAATAACCACCATAAATAATTCGATTTCAATTCTATTATCGTTCTTGGTTGCAACATTTCTCATCAGAATTTTTCCAAGAATTTCTATGTATGTAGCAACAATATTTTTCGAAAGTAGTACGAACAATAAATAAAATTCATTACATTAATAAATTAGAGCTATTTATTAAATCGTCAATTCAAGTGACTTGTATAGTTCCGATAATTATTTTATTGTGCCCCGCAGCAATAATCGTAATTGGGTGCCAGTGTGTAATTAACGCCCTTGCGATATGTGGCACGTATCGATCGAGCTGTCATAATGGAAAAATCTTGTCGCAAGCGAGTAATTTATTTTTGGATATATATATATATATATATATATATATATACCTCATATTTTTTGTGGCAATCGTGGAAATTATCAAGGTGCTTATTAATAACTTGTCGCGAGGAAATTCACACGCGTGAGTTCTGTGCGTCCTGCAGGATCGTGTTCATTTATATGTATATGACTATAATTTAGTCACTATGTGATACATTTTAAATGAACAATATTTTTGTTCCACACATATAAACCCCCAACAATATATTTTTTTTTAAATATAGGAGCTCTAACAAGATGAAATAAAGAAATTGCACAAAGAACACTGTAGAAATGTTTGTTGCATTTAATATTAAGAAAAGTTAAAATCCTAATTATTTTTAACCAATTTTTAACTAATTAATTAGCAATTGCGCATGTCACTCTAATACATATCAAAACAATTATAAGTGCGAAAATATCATCTTGGCAATATCAACACACTGCATTTTTTTGCACTACTTATATAATGTGAATATTACAAATGTTTAGAAACTAAAGTTTGTCTCATCTTCACTGTATATATAAATTATTATTATTTTATATTCATTAAATTTGATTACAATTATTTAGATTTACACTGAAGATGAGACAAACCTCAGCCTTGGATCATTTGTAACATTTATACTATCTAAAAATAGTGCAAGAAAGAGTGTAGTGTACTCATATTTTTCAGATTATATATATATATATATATATATATATATGTATATATATATATATATATATATTTATTTATATATATATAGAAAGGTAGAATGGGGCTTAGAAAGGTGCACTATCTCTATCTCAATAACAAGAAAAATATAGATTTTTTAGTGATACTATTTTAAAGTAGAAGGCAAAAGATGTGTAACCAGTCATAACCTTGATTCATACGACGTCGCTATCAGGATAAACAGAAATGTATCAACATTCATACCAAAAGTATTTTTTTCGTTGGTATTTTTTTGGTTTTGAGCTATTGCAATTTGAAGGATGAATTTTAGGTCATTTTTAAAGTGTCGTAAAAGAAAGCAATGAATGTTTTCACTATCCATTTTTTACCACTTGTTCATTAATATTATTAAAATACAAAACAAAAATTAAAAAATTAAAAAGTTGAAAATTGGAAAAATTGGCAACTCAGTCTTGACATGATTTCAGCCCTCCTAGCCATCGGAAATGCAAAAAATAAAAAGATTATTAATCTACAATGATGTCGTAATCGCCCGAATTAGCGATGAGTAAAAAAATTTTTTTTACAAATTGACGACTGTTTGAAAAAAAAGTTTTTGAGTTTCTCGAATTTTTTAAAAATAGTAAAAGTTGGAATTTGGGGATAATCCTAGTTCGGGCTATAGATAGGTCCATAAACAAGACTCTCTGAACATTTCAAATGAATCGGTCGATTAAAACTCGAGAAATCGTGTCAACAGTACTGAAAAAGTCTGTTCTGAGAAAAACGCATTTAAAGTTTTTTGCGTGAAGCCAAACCAGTATGGAGACCGAGTCAGTAAAATGCCTATATCTCTGAAAATAATTCCAATTTTCAAAAACCTTCTCGTACCCATATTTTTATATAGTTAAACCTTTAAAATATGAAATAAAAAAAAAATATTTTTTTGAATTTCTACACTAGAATACCCCCTTAGATCAACATGATATACATATACAAATTTATTTGGATTTTAATAGATTGTCATTTATATTTTCAGATTACTCTAATCTAGTGGCGAGTGGATTCATTATCCTGCACGTATATACAGGTATGTATCATTTATATTTTTTTTAGTCAAGGAAGTGAGCGACATTTCTAGTAAATTCATACATATATATATATATATATATATATATATATATATGTATGTATGTATGTATTTATGTGTAAGTATAGGCGTCGTCCGCATGTCCGTCCCAAGGTTTACCGGAAACTTGTCCCTCCGCCGTCATTTCCCGCGTTCCGTCACGGTGCCGCGATTCTTCTGCCATTTCAACCGTTTTATATCGAATAATAAGTCTGTTTGTATTGTTTCATCAACACGACGTACGACGTTTGTGCTGTTGTACTGCTTACTTTGTCGCGACAACTGCTGCTGAAAATATTAACCCGAGCACCTGCTTCGCGCTTATCTCGCTCTTTCACTGCATTCGCTAATGACTCTTTCTCTTTGCGTAGACACAGGTAAACATTGTGTCTTACTTGTTTAAAGCACTAATTTTATACACGGATATATATAAATATATATATATATATTAGGGTGGTCCTTAACATGGACATTTTCGAATTTCCTTGCTCACATATAGAAATAGCATGGAAAAAATGTTGAAAATTTAAAAAAAAAATACTTACGTGGACTTACATAAAAACGCGGTATAAACCGATGGATTCAAATATTATAATATAATCATAGAACAAATGTTTTTTGTACTGTTTCAGTGTTGCGTACGCCTCAGCAGAGGGTCTACTGTACTCAACGTTATCGCTCGAATTGTTCGTAAGTCGTTGGTCTAGATAAGATCCAACTAATTTTACGATTCACTTCACAAATTCCCAAAAATATAGTTTTTGGCTATAAATTGAAACTTTTAATATACCCTATGTCCTAAATGGGATCTATATGCTCACGGTGAGTAAATTTCAATTTTAAATCGGTTCAGTATTTTAGGCGTCCATCTCGGACGTTAGGTGTGACACTAAATTTATAAATATATATATTTATATAGTATATTTATAAAAAAAAATTCGAAAATTTAAAATTGTTCTTTAGGTAAACTTAGCGACAAATGAATTAAAAGTGACAATTCGTGTCATCTTTTATTGAAAATTCGACGCTCTGCAAAACAGGCTTTTTATAATTTGTTTTGTAGAGCGTCGAATTTTGAATAAAACTCATTCATTTGTTCGCTAAGTTATATCTAAAAAAAAACATTTTTAAAATTTTTGAAAATTTTCCCATTCTATTTAAATACAAAACTTTGATTGAATTGCGCACTATCTAAAAAACAATATTAAGAGCTAAACTCATAGAGGATTTTTTTATCAATTTAGAAGCATTTAAGCCCCTGGCAGCAAAAAAATTCAAAAAGGTTCATTGTAAGGACCACCCTTATATATATATATATATATATATATATTGGGTGGTGTTTAATATGAATATTTTCTAATTTCTTTGTTCATAGGTTTCTTATGGAAATAACGTGGGAAAAATTTAATTTGTTTTTTTAGAATTTCATATCTAAAAAAATTGAAATTTCAAAACCAACAATTTAAGACCATTGAAGTTTAAAAAAATCGCTGTCACATACAAAATTCAATCGAACATTGTATTTCTGTTAAACCAATGTATCTTGTTAAATTAATTATTATCAAAGTTTTGTTTATAAAACGCGCGATGAATTCTTATCACAATTATCAATTGAGGAATTTATACTACATATAAACAAATGCATGGGCGATTTTTAATAATCAAGTTAATAACACCATATATGTTTGCTTTCTGCATTTAAAAATTAATTTCTATAAATAGGAGAATTATTATTTCTGGAAGTGCCAAGAATTCATAACTTTTGTTTATGGATTGAGTAGAACCAGAAAAATTTATAATAATCGTTAATGAATACTTATCATGTTTTAATAATTATAGAAAATTATTACTCAAACAGATACAAAATACAGTCTAACAAATAATTGTAAAAGTAAAATGAAATATGGGTAAGATAAGTTGGCGTTTTAATTTTTTGTTGAATGTAAAGAATTTTAGAATGTTACAATATTTTCATATAATTTCAAAAACATTTTGTTTCTGCACTTAACGTTACTAAATAACAAAATAATTACGAAATGATTTATATAAATGCAACATATAATTATAAATAAAAAACGTTATCTTTGATCGTTAAAAATCTAAATGAATATTTCTAGACAGAAAACAATATTTCTTTTGAGTCCAATAGTTTCTGAATTCATTAAATAAGAAAATAAATATATCTTATAGAAATAGATTTCATTTCTGATTGTTTATTTACAATAATAATAATAAAATATAAATAAATAAATATGTAACTCTATAGCTTTTGTAAGCTTATGCCTAAAACATCGATATTTTCTAAATAAGCATTGATAATTTGGGAATCATTCAAAGCGGTTGACTGAAATCTCGAATGGTCAATATGTTTAGTCTGGAATAAACAAATATGTATTATTTATTTTGGTAATTTGACACCTTCAGTGCCAATTCTCCAATAAAATAAAAATGTTAAGGTAACCCTATGTTACGGGTCTATCTTCGTATGAATTGGTAGTATGATCTGTCAGAAAGCTATGTATTTGCTGTGAGATCAAGCGTTTTACACATAAAACCTAAGTTCGCGTATCAACGAAACATCAGAAAGATGCACTTGTAACAAAAAATTTATTTGATTTTTGTGCGTTTGGTAGGTTAGGATTTATGTGTGAAACGCCTGATCGCAAATACATAGGTTTTTGATAGTTTTTACTACCAATTCATACCACGATAAACTCGTAACAAAGTGTTACCATAACATATCTATTTTATCAGAGAATTGGCCTCTCAGTATATTACATAAGTGTACATAATGTTTCCAAGCTCGACTTGTCTATTCATTTCCTAAGCAGTGTTAGTATTTTCTTATTTTTCCGGATGCGAACTATGACGAAGACTGACATACCGCTAAATTCCTATATTGTACCTAAAATGATTTATGCCTCGTATTTTGTACCGGCTCATGATTTTCCGATATAAATCATTTTCTGGTAATTAAACTGTCAAATAATACCCCCTTCTTTAGCTTGTGTGAGGTATTCGATAATGCAATGCAATCGACCAACGCTTTGCTTGCTGTATTGTAATTCACCATCTTGTTTTTTACCATTTAAAGTAAGAAATATAATGATGAAATTAGTAAAAATTAAAAAGTTTGAGTTTATATACTTTATATTCATTTGTATAAAGTAGAGCGAGGTGGAGCTTAAGATCCGCGGGTGAATAGGTCCACCACCGATATCTCAAAAAACCACTAAAGTAAAGAATTTTTTAACAACAATATTTGAAAGTAGAGGGAAAAAGTATAACCAGCCATCATCTTGATTATTACGACGCTATCGGGAGAAAAACGGCAATGTTTGAAAAAAACATCATAAAAGTATTTTCTTTCGTTGTTAGTTTTTTTGATTGTGAGCACTGTTGTTTAGTTTACGAGACCTGAATATATTTTTTAAGTATGCGTTATTTAATTGTTCTATAAGAAGTATTGTTAATAATCAATAGTTTTTTTATATAACCTCAATAAAAGCTTACACCTGGGTGGGGCAAAAAGAACCAACTGAACCTTTACCTTGGCAAAGGTGTAAAAAATTCAAACTAATGAAAAAAAAGTAAATTATGTTGATACCTGTTTTACAAGAGATAAATTAAATAAATATTTATTCCAACTCTGGTGATGAATATTTCTGACGAAATACCAGATCAAGGTTATTTACAGTGTTATCTCTGCAAAAATGCATCTATGAAACTTATGTTTTGCATTGGTTGAATAACTTAGCTATTATTTTGTAAAATTCCTTTAAAGCTAAATTAAAACATTGGTCCTGTTTGCTACCCGGTTTTCCTAAATTATCCCGCCAATGGGGTAAAAAAGACCAGACTACACACTTTTGAAAAACAGCAAAAAACACATTTTAAAAGTGATGAATTAGCTAGGAGTTTTCCTGAACATAGTCAGATAGTTGTTTGTTTGATATGTATTATTTGTTGTGATGTAATTGGCATAGTTTCCACAATATAATTTTTCAAAGTCAATTGGTTCTTTGTACACCGCTTATCGAAAAAAAAAATTAATATATGACCATGTGTGACAGAGATAAAGTTTTCCAGGAATTTTGGCAAACAAAAATTTTTTTAAAACATTAAGTTTCTTCGATACCTTTTTAACTAAATTATCTAATAAAGTTACCACGGGCCATATGAAATCTTTTCTGGTATTATCGTGGCAATCTTGATAATACTTTTCTGGTATTATCGTGTTAAAGAGTGTTCGATTTAGACGACAATTTTTTTTTATTTTCATATATTAATCTGGTTGACGCAATGATCTTTTTTTTAAGTTCCACATTAAAAGGTCTTTTTCACTTTTAAACTTTCAAGAAATTAAGACATGATATTTTAACATCGTGATCTATTTGACATTAACGATTATTCAGAAAAAAAGAACTTCTAGCTTACATGTTCTTTGCGGATACTAGCAGGTTCGACCGGGTATAAAAAAGTAATTAAAAATTCTTTTAGTACTGTGCATAGTTAATACTATATCAGTTCTATAAAATTGACGCTTGTTATATTTTTTAAAACAGATATTGAAATCTGAAAAATAGGATATTTGGTATATGGAACCAAATATCAAAATTCAGTTAGGGTAAGTCGACTAAGACAATAAGGTCCGGATAATTACTGTTGAAAATATCGATACTCTTTCTTTTTTATTTGTGTTGTCTTCTAAGAGTTGAACCATATATTACGTCAAATCTTAAATTTATATATACATTATTTTATTAGAAATATTTTATACGGCATACAGCATACTGTATTTTATTATTCTAATTTTTTGAACTATAAGTCTTCTTTGCTCCTCAAGAAAATATTTAATTTTTTTATAAAAACGATTCCATAAACAATAAATTAATAAAATATTTGTCAGTAATAATAGCTACCAAGAAAAAATTTGCAAATAGAATATAATATATAGGTGT